CATTTTTAGTACTGGTTTGAGCAAATAGGTAACATTTTTACTACTAGTTCGGGTGAATAGCTAGCATTTTTAGTACTGGTTTGAGCAAATAGGTAACATTTTTACTACTAGTTCGGGTGAATAGCTAGCATTTTTAGTACCGGTTTGGGTGAACAGGTCCGAACCAGTAGCATTTCACCCCTGCCTCGGAGGTTTTCTAGTCTACTTCTAGCTCTAGTTTTAATCCAGTTCTAGAGACAGATTGTTGTTCAGAGAGCTTGCACCAAGGATGAACCAGAAGCAATATATCCCCAACAATGAGAACCCCGAGGCAGGCATATTCCTCAAAGAACATTTTGTTAAAGGTAAAGATTTCCCCCGCACATGTGTGCTAGTCCTTCCCGACTCTAGGGGGCGGTGCTCATCTCCATTCCAAAGCCAAAGAGCCAGCACTGTCCGAAGACGTCTCCGTAGTCATGTGGCCGGCATGATTCAACGTGAAAGGCACACGGAACGCTGTTCCTTTCCCACCAAAGATGGTCCCTCTTTTTCTACTTGCATTTTTTAACATGCTTTCGAACTGCAGAAGCTGGGACAAGTCACGGGAGTACACTCCGTTACGCGGCGCTAGGGATTCGAACCGCTGAACTGCCGACTTTTTGAGCTTGGCATCTTAGCCACAGAGCCACCACGTCCCTTGAAACATTTTATTGGGACATATCAACTTGGCACAGACTTGGTGGAAAACCGGCTCTAACTTCCTGCTGGTTTTACACCCAATTAAAAGTGAAACTTTGTCACTTCCTTCCAGAGTCACCCGTCACATGGTCCAGTCCAGTTGCTAGGTGACTTCCGTCTCCACCTTTCGAACACCTGCATGATTCCCAGGGGAAATAATTTCATTTTGGCTACAAACACCCCAGCTATCTCTACATCCCTTCCCCTCCCTGGCTCCTTCGCTCGGGGCTGTGTCAACCCTGAAGCGATGAGAAGAGAAATCTCCCTAGAGAGCCACCGAGAAGGAAAATGGCCACATTTCAGCCGGTTTCAGGGTTGACATGGACTTCATCTCTTGAACATGCTCAACAGTGGTGGGTTCCGGATCCCGTTGCAACCTCCACAACGCCTCCGCGATGCCTCCACAATGTTCCGGCTGCTCGGTGGAGCGTCGTGCAGGAACCATGTGCTCTGTGCGTGTAAGTGCCGAAGAGCACAAATACAGGTAAGGTGCTCCGGCGGGCAGATGGGAACAGTACCAGGTACTCCCAGCAAGAACCAGTACGCCTGTACCAGGGCGTACCGCCTGCAACCCTCCACGGATGCTCAAGCAATCTCTGTAGCAATCTCCCCATTGGTCTCCGGACGCGCTTCAAGGTCCTAGTCGTTACTTTTAAAGCCCTTCATGGTTTAGGACCTGGCTACCTGAG